GCTAAGAGACTGGGCCAGTTGTCCCATAGAGTGTCCCTAGGTCTGGGTTTGTTTGGCTCTGTCCTCGCCCTGTTGTTCTGTGAGCCCCGAATCAGTCTAGGGTCTGGATTGGAGTCAGATCAGAGATTTCGCCCGAGTTGTCCTGGGAGGTGGGTGATGTCATGTGACGGGCAGAGGGTGGCCACAGCATGGGGGGCTGTGGTTTGTCCCTCTGTTGTGAAGTCACACACACACACATACACACACACACCCTTTGGTCTGAAAGTGATCTGACTGATGATACTGGATGCACTTTTCATCTTGTACCTTTTTGACTTTTCCAACCATGTGTGTATATTTTTTCTCTTTTAATGTGACCTGGGGTGGTCTGAACTTATTTCCTCATAATTTGCCTCAGTTGACTAAAGACCGTCTTTCCCACTCCTCCCTGTGAGGAGGTAAGATGAAGACCCTGGAGGGTCTTTTGTGGGAACAGGTTTTGGAAGCCTCAGCTCGGGCCAGGCTGCTGGGTGGGGGTGGCCGAGGTTTCACTGGTGACTCAGGAAGTAGCCCATAGAGCCATAGGAAGGTGTCACCACATCGAGAAAGATCCAGTAAGCACTTCGGTGCAGTTCAGTAATGAGGAAGGAACTCAGCCGGCCGGGGAACCGGTCACTGGAGGGCGGAAGCTGGCTGTGGGGTCAGTGTCCGCTCTCCGTCTCCCCCCTTGAAGGACCATGGCCCCAGTCCCGTTCTCACGGAGGCCTGGGAAGGGCTAGGGTATGACGGGGTACCTATTTACAGCTTCTGCTGTATAAGTTGGGGAGTGGGAGTGCCAGACAGCTCCAGTCCCTAGGTAATCTGGTGGTCATGGGTCGGAGCAGGGAGATGTGACCTGGGGCAAGGCCCATTTTCTGGGGAGAGCCAGCTGTGTGTTGGGCATCCCTGGCCCCTCCCACAGACCCCGTTTGTCTGCATTTCAGAGATGTGGGTATGGAACCTGGAGAGGGCAGGCCATTTATTTGCATGTGACCTCCCTGCTAGTAAGTGGCGAGGACAGGGTTTGAACCCTAGCATACCTGTCTGCAAACACGCCCAGGGTTATAAAAGGTGGCAGCAGTGTTAAGATCCAGATGGGGTCTTCTCCGGCCCCCAAGGCCCGGTGACCTTCCATTCTTCCCTAGGTGTCAGCTCTGCCTTGTGCGCCCAGGATTGGCTGCTCACCTTGTGTGGGGCTCAAGTGGCCGGAGTGCTTTATCCCAAGTCCTGCTGGTCACTCACTCAGAGCCCTTGCTGGTCAGGTCATGTTCAGAGATGTCTGTTACCTTTTTTTTTTTTTTTTTAAGATTTTATTTATTTGACAAAGAGAAACACAGTGAGAGAGGGAACACAAGCAGAGGGAATGGGAGAAGGAGAAGCAGGCCTCCTGCCGAGTGGGCAACCCCATGTGGGGCTCAAACTCAGGACCCTGGAATCACGACCTGAGCCAAAGGCAGACGCTTAACGACTGAGCCACCCAGGCGCCCCGTCCCCTTTAATCAGTGTGACTGCAGACGTTGCGTAGTGCTTTCTAGGAAGACAGCGAAACGCCCTGAGAAGTGGTGATTTCCTATTTTCCTGTTACCTTGACTACTTCGATTTCTTCTTTGCAGTTGCCCAAGATTGCCCAACTGAAGCCTCTTTGTTAGAAAATCTTCCAGCCTTTGCTTGAGGGGGTGCGTTTGGGAACCAGGGTCCCTCCTGCAGCCCGGGGCTGGCGTGAACACCAGACAGGCTCGTCTCCCTGCAGTGGGAGATATTTCTTGGTCTTCCTCTTAGCCTGTATTTGGAGGGAAAAGTTGGCCTTTGTAGGCTTTCCTTCCTCTTCAGCCCTTCCCCTGGGCTTTCTCAGCCCGGTACCAGGCCAGAAAGCATCAAATTGAGCCCTGGCCAATGTTTCTGATTCTCGCAGCAGCAAGTGAGGACTTTGACGAGTTTCTCCAGGCAGGATCCGTACACAGAAAGACGTCTTAGTGGTTGGAGAAGGGTGATGGCCTGTGTGTGGTTCCACTAGTGATTCACCTACGCTGGCAGTTCCCAGTCTTCCCTCCAGGAGGCGGCCGGTGGGAAAACCGTCGCTGGGCCACCTGAGTTTTCCAGGAGTCCCTGTGAACCGTGGACCTGCAGCCCCTCGGAGCTGGGCCAGGCCCAGGTGGTCACAAAGGAGCTTTCAGTCCCGTCTCACAGGCACATCTGTGTTCGCTGTCATGTACGTGGGTACAAGGGGCCCTTTTTGGGGGCCGGGCTGCCGTCACTGAGGCAAGAACGTCTCCGCGGGTGTTGTCCCTCGCAGCCCGCTGTGCGCGCTCAGCTGATTCTCGGGGCTGATGGCTGTGAATTCTGCCATCTGTGGAACTGAGAGCCATACATCCGTTGACAAAAACCACAGCATTTAGGGGAATACCCTTTGTCTTTAATTTCCACATTGATGTGGTAAGCTATTTCCGCACGTGCTGGCTATGCATTAATTCGGCAGGCGTCCCTTAACGGCAGACAGGAACATGTCCATTTGCATTTGAAGCCAGTCTGGCCTTGCAGATGTCAGAGGACAAGGGAGGCTCATTTCTCTAGAAGGTCCCTGTTGAGAGCCCCGTCCCATTCATCCCTGGCGGCGCTGAATCGGGCCCTGTGGCGGTACAGCCAAGTGGCAGCTTCCCCTGCCAGGGAGAGCCAAGATGGGGCTCATTTTTCAGAGCCCTTTTTCGGGGTGTGGGATGGGATATAGGTCTTCTTTATGTACTCCCCATTTCCGTGTGGTAGTGAATGAAGGTGCCGAGTGTGCTGTGTTCGTTCTAAACAGAGAGTTCTGTGACGTGCGCTTCCGAGATCATCAGGAAGGAGGCTGGGAGCAGGCAGCCCGGTGGTCAGGGATCTGTGTGAGAGCCACAGTCAGCTGGGAAGAAGCCTCCAGAGCCGTTCCCCGGTGCTGTGCGGCTTCAGTCTCCAGCAGTCTGGGTGGGGACACCTTTGCCTCTAGGTACAGGAAAGCCCAAGACCTAAGCACTGTGACCCATCGGTGAGGCTTGGGCACAAAACCAGCAACAGCAAAAAAAAAAAAAAAAAAAAAAAAGGCTTTTGTCTTGGTATGTTAATGAGCCAGTTTATTAAGGTGGACTTGACATGTTCTTACCATCTAGTTGTATTTTTAAAACAAGTATTTTGGAAAAAGTAATGTGATATAACTAGCCTGGGATTCAACTTGTCTTTCATCTTTGTCTTGTTCATGGAGCTTAGAGTAGATGTGGGGCAACTGTTTGCTGGCTTTTTTTTTTTCCTGTTTCTTTGACTTGACAGTAAATCAGAGCAAATGCACTGTGCTTCATGACATGGGACTGTTCTGGATGAACTCTTAACAGCTGTATGTTTTGTGTGTGTGACACAAAACTTGTGCGAGAAAGCATTGCCTTTCACAGTCTCCTGCCCTGCCCTGCCCCGCCCCCTGCCCCTTGCAGCTCTGCCTGGTCCTCCTATGACCCTAACTATACCTAGACCTCTTTTCCTGTTTTGTTCCCGATAACCAGAGCCTAGCCAACTGGAAACCTCACCTTCCAGGAACCATTCCTGACCTTATTTACTTTCTCCCAAAGAGGCAGTCCTACGCAGCAAATTCAGATTGGAGTTTTAGGTGGGAGCAGCATTTGGGTGAGTGAGTGGTAATGGTTGGGTTTGCTGGAATGGACATAATGAAAGAAGGAAGAAAACTGATACACACTTAGAGCATTTTCAAGCAAGTACCCATCTGCCACGAAATTGAATTCTCCATCTGTCCGTCCATCCATCTCTGCATGCTTCTGTGCATCTGGCCAGTGGGTATTTGCCAGCAGCTCTGCCAAACTTTGAGGATGGATGTAATGGTGAGAAGACAGGTGTGGAGCCTCCTCAAGGAGCGTACCTTCTGGCATGATCTACCAAACGGCAGGGTAGGGGAAGTGCTGTGGCGGGGAGGGGCTGCTGACCCAGCACCAGTGAGGAGGGTGGTCCAGGAGGATCAGGGCATCGGGGCTGAGCTCTGAGAACGGAGGAGTTGGCTGGGTGAGCAGAGGGGATGGCGTGCGTAGAGGCTCAGTGGGGAACCATCAGAGGCAGTGGGACCTGGCTTTGAGAATTTCAGAGAAGCCGTGGATCCTCTCCTGTGGTGAAGGCAGAGGTGGCACCGTGCTCCCAAAGTTTTGTGTCTGGTTTCTGGAGATACCTACACTCCCTGATGCACCGAAATCCCGATGGCCGTGTGAGCCCCCACGTTTTCCGTCTGGGGAGGCCCAGGCCAGTGTGATGAGTGTGAACGCATAAAGATGCCTTTCCTGGAGGTGTCCTGCATCAGCCAGGAGTCCACATCTCATCCCTTCAGAAAACTGTTTCCAGGAGCTGCTTGCAAGTGTTGATACTAGCTAACTTGTTTAGTTGATACTAGCTAACTATTAATTGATAATAGCAAAAAAAAAAAAAAAAGTGTTTTTCCCAAGTTGATGCAGTTTTACATAGAAAACAAAAACTTTTGGGGTTGCTGCAGAAACACTTGGGCTTCATTTTCCATGGTTTTTACCACCATGAGATCCAAAGTGAGATTCTTAAAATGTTGTGGGAATCTTGAGTGAAGTTCTTGGTCTAGCCCTGTGCTGGTATGAATGACACTCTCTGATCTGGATGTTCAAGAGCAATACTTCTGATCTTGTTAAAAAAAAAAAAAGCTAGTTTCTCTCTTTGAAGGAGGACAGCTCTGCAGTGAAGACGGAGGTTCTAATCCTCCCTTGCCCTGGAAGGCCTCTTGCTTGATGTCCGCCGGCCACGTGGCTTATGTCCCTGAAAATCCACGTGTTGGCGTTAACTGGATTTTAACCTGGACGTACTCGCAGACCTTCTCTGTACGGCTCCCACGTTGTTGGGCTTTGTGGGTGTGAGGTGGGGACGGAGAGTGGTCTGACCAGGTGACCGCGAGCTGGAGCCTGTCCTGTGCATGTGGTGACTTTGCATTTCCCCCACAGCCACTTCCCCGAGGGTGTCCTCTGAGCTGGAGCAGGCCCGGCCGCAGACCAGTGGAGAAGAGGAGCTACAGCTGCAGTTGGCACTTGCCATGAGCAGAGAAGTCGCTGAGCAGGTTGGTGCCAGGCAGGTGGGACTGCACGCTGGGGGGTCCCCAGGTGGGGCGTGGGTCACAGCAGGGACAGTGACAGACGCAGGCCCTGGCCTCATTGTTTCCCGAGATGGGACTGGGCGTTGCCATAGCGGTGTTGGTGCCACCCACTGCCACCACACCCCCACCCCCGGTCAGGGAGGCGTCCTTTTTGTGGGCCAGTGGGTGAGCTGGTCACAGGGCTCCCCAGAAACACTGCTATAGACACAGCCACATATCGTGGTCCCTTCGTGCAAGGCATGTGGGCTTAGCCCCCAGGGAAGGCAGTTTGGAAGACAGGTCAGGAACATTTGAATGCTGAGAAGCAAGGCTGGGAGGGAAAGCTGCAGGTAGTTAAGAACCCTTATTATGTTTCGACGACGGCTGTTTGTGCAGTTTCAATTCTTTTCTCAGTTCCTGTTTTTCTCTAATAATCACGCCTGCCTTTAGCATGGAGAAGGAGGGAAAGGCGTGTTGGAAATGACCTTTCAGAGCTGTCGTCCCTTTGGTCCCAGTGATCAGGTCTGTCCCTGCTGACCTTGGGTGAGGGAGGGTGGTTGGAGTCAGGTAGCACGAGGCTCTCTGTCTCCTAGAAGTGATGCACAGATGCAGATATTAGGGAGAGTTGGACGAAGTGCAGAGGTGGCTGATCTGTGTCGCTATAACTGGAACCTCCTGAACCTCAGGGGGGTGGACAGTTTCTGTTACAGCCTCCCTGTTCACAGTAGGGAAAGCCCAGCCGTTAGATCCGTCCCTGTGGATGCCTGGCTCTGTCCCAGACGGCCCGGGAAGAAGGAGCAGGAGTGCAGGGACGGACAGACAGACAGAGCCCATTTTCGTCCATAACTCATCTCTGTGATTAATCATATTTGTAATAAGTAAAATGCAAGGAACTTATTTCTGATTCGTGATGACATAAAAGCTAGGACAGCCCAGTCTTCTGCATGGGGTGACTTCGCCTTAAACGAATATTAATTAGATACAGGTGAACACGTATCTTAAAGAACACGAGTTTTGGGCTGTACAACTCCACTTAAGTGTGGATTCTTGTCAATAAGTACAGGGCTGTAAATTTATTACCTGTTTCTTAATTTATTAATAACATTTTTTCAGCTTAGTTTATTATAAGAACACAGCATAGTCACACATACACAGAATATGCATTCGGTGACTTACTTGGGTTCCAGTCAGAGGTTGGCTCTTAGTAGTTAGGTTTTTAAGGAGTCAACATTTATATGTGGATTTTCAGGGTGGGGGTTGGTTCCCCTAATGCCCGTGTTGTTGGAGGGTCAACTGTATAATGAATCCTTTCTTTTTGAAATCCTAGAAATAAACATGCAGTGATAGGTGATTTTCACCCTCTTCCTGATTCCTTTCTGGGCTCTCAGGCTTTTGTATTTTACAAGGAGATGCATTGCTTCTTTAATTAGAATATAAAGCCATTTTCATTTTGAGATAAAAGCATTGGAGAATAAGTGTTCCCTTTCCCGGGACTTGGTGGTGTCTCTGCCCCTCCCCCCCACCCGTCTGCCCACTGGGACCCCAAAACCAGGGAAACCATATGGGCCGGGCGGGGGGGCGGGGGACGAGCCCTCTGGGCCACACTTGCAGGACAGAATAACTGTATTACAGGTTGTTTTCTGATCTTCCTTTGCAATACTGCGTGGTCAGATTTTGTTACCCATGTTCGCTTCGGGTGTTGCTTTGTCCTGTTCCGCTCAGTGATGTTGTCACAGTGCCATTGTCCTCTGCAGGAAGAACGCCTCAGGCGGGGTGACGACCTCAGATTGCAGATGGCCCTAGAAGAAAGCCGAAGAGACACGGTTAAGGTTCCCAAAAAGAAGGAGGTAAGCGCCTCATCGGAGAGGTCAGTGTGGGAGCCGGTCCCACCGTGGTTGCCGAGTGTCCAAGCCCAACCCACAGGGCAGGACGCCTTCTGTATACCCCTCCGTGATGAGCATGAGTGAGGGGAGGACGTGACTGAAAACACCTCCGCCTGTGCCGTTCCTCCAGAGGCTCTCCCGAGACCAGCCGGAGAGAAGGTGGGCGCTGGCAAGGGGCCTCCGTGTACCGGGGCCTCAGTTTCCTCCCCTGTACACCAGCGAGTGGTAGCCCTGTGGTCAGGTGACTGTTACAGGAGCCAAGCGTCTGGTGCTTTGGAACAGAGTCCTGGCACAGGGAAAGGCTCAGTAGTGCTGGGCTTCGCAGCCGTCATCAGCCTTACCCTGCGCCAGGCTGCCCGCATGGGGCCTGAGGCGACCAGGACATGATACTGCTCCCACAAGCTCCTCTGGTCACAAGACAGGCTCCCCCCCCCCGCCCCCATCACTGTGCCGGGGTTCTGGTGGTCTCCCATATCACGGTGCCACAGGGTCCCTGACAGCAGCTCTGGTGGTTGTGGGAACTGGAGGGCAGGGCAGGCCCTGGGAGAGGGGGCCCTGGATGATGGCTGGCTGCAGGGGACACCGAGGTCGGTGGGTGGGGACAGCATTTTGGAGGGATGCTGCAGCCTGGTGCAAAGCCTGTGTTATCCTGGAAAATCAGCAAACGGGTGGGCTTTGAGCCCAAAGTAAAAGGCTCGATGTGGGTGGAGCCTGGGCTGGAGTGGGGAAGTGGGTGGAGCTTGGGCTGGGGTGGGGAAGTGGGTGGAGCCTGGGCCGGGGGGGGGGAAGTGGGTGCAGCCTGGGCGGGAGGGGGGAGTGGGTCCGTGGGGTGGTGGGCTGGGTGGGGCAGGAGATGGGAGGACATGGGGGCCTGCTCAGTTTCCTCTTGGCCCCGCCCAGAGGGCTTCTAGTCCCAAGAGGGATGGTATTTACGTCAAATGGCTAACTCATAGATATTTGCTGTTAACTGTAGCAAAGTAAAACCTGTCCCCTCTCTTTGTCTTAAAAGCATGGCTCCCACCCACAGCAGACTACTCTGTTGGATTTAATGGACGCCCTCCCCAGCTCAGGCCCTGCTGCCCAGAAAGCAGAGCCTTGGGGCCGGTCAGCCTCAGCTAACCAGACAAACCCTTGGGGCGGGCCGGCGGCACCAGCCAGCACTTCAGACCCCTGGCCACCGTTCGGTAAATACCCTCCTCATTTGTGTCCCCTGCCTGCCTGCTAGATGTGTGAAGGGCCTTGGGGCCGAGCTTCCTGCTCTCTCACCAGGTGGAGGTGGGAGTGGGGTAGGTCTTTGGTGATGGGTGCCCAGGCTTCTCCAGTCCCCCTCTCAGGTGTTACCAGACTGTAACACCCAGTCCCATCCTCCTGATGACTGTGGTACAGTGCTCTCCTGTTTTGAATGGTTTTCTGCTTCGGTAGAGGGAAAGCTGACTTCCTCTGTGCTTCCTACACACATCAGAAATGCCTTGGCCCTCTTCTGGGACATGTGTCCAGTCTCTTGGCCTCAGAATTGCACCCAGCACCCCAGGTAAAGAAGCCGTAAGACACAGCATGAAACATCTCCATCAGGTTACTGTAATTAGTGGAAATTAGGATGTGAGTACTGTGATCGCTAATGAAAAGATACATTTGCTGTCCTTCTGCTTGCTTGTTACTTAAAGCAACAGTAAGTCCGTTTACTAGGATAAGTGGATTATTTTAAAGTTCTGTTTAATGCCAGATGTAAGAGAATCTGTGGGAGAATATTTGCAACATGAGTGTGACACAATCAGTATAATCTGGGTAGAAATCTTGGGCATGGAGTTTCCTGATCGCTGGACGCAGGGCTTGGCCTGCGGGCTTGGTGGTGGCTTCCAACCCAGCCTGCTGCTCTGGGAGGTTCCCTCTGGGTGCTCCAAGCCCTGCCAGCCTCAGCTGATCTGTTTAGGAACTTGCATTTGTATATTTTGTGGCAACTTGCCTGTATCTCTTTGGGGTCTCTGTTTCCCCAAACTGGAACCATCTTCCGTATTCAGCTCGGTTCCCTGGACGTTTGCCGAAGTGTGCCAAATGCCAGGCTCTGTCGTGCTATCCAGGGACCCAGACACAAACAGGTAATGGTCTTGCCTTCAAGGTCTTGGGCGGGTGTAGGCAAGGTGGGAATACCAGCATCCTGGGACGGGACTTAGTTCAGGAAGCTGGCAGGCATGTGGCAAGGGTGTCCCCAGTGGAGGGCTGGCCTTGTGAGAGCCGAAGAGTGTGCAGTGGTTTGGTGGGTGTGAGACACGCCATGGGGAGCAGGGGCGTGGGGTCAGGGCTCTGCCCACTCGGGGCTTGGCAGTCATGTCCAGAAGGCTGTGTCAGTCCCAGATGTCCTTTGGCAATGCAGTTGGCCGCGGGGACCTGGGCAGATCCCCAGACTCCCTTTGGCAGGAGCCCTCTGGGCCTGGAGTCAGACTGCAGGCCAAATGGCCTACAGGTCTCACTCACTGAAAGCCAGAGTCGCATGGCGGCAGGGAGCTTGGCGGTTCATGTGGTCGGTGGCCTGTGTGCTATGGCCCTGGGAGCTTGTGGGCTAAAGTCTTGCTTAGCCTACATGGGGATAGCAAAGGCAGTTCTGGAAATGCCCACCTGGGCCCCTTCCAGACAGTGGCTCTTGACTTTTATGCTAAATCTGAAAATAGTTCCTCTGTAAGGTGCTGGCCTCCTTGAGTTATGGGTAGGATGTTCCTCAGGAAAGATTCTCGATCCCTTTCACAGTTGTGTAATGGGTCATTATGCAGACTGCACGTTTTTCTAGCGGCCAGGAGAGAAAGCAGTCTGGGTGGAAGCCAGAGCGGAAGAGGATTGAATTGTGCTGAGTCAGTGGCTGATGGGAGGTGGTTGGTGTGGGGCCTGGGGGGGGCGGTGGGGGACAGACTTCCACTGTCTACCTTTTTTATACTGTTCCACTTAATTTACTAAGGGTGTGTGTTACCTGGTCGGGAGAGACCAGATTTACGAGTTTTCTGTGAAGGAGGTGGTTCTTCCCTTCCTTTGGCTGGTGGACGGTACTGTGTGCCTCGGAGCTGGGTGTCTTGAGCACACCTCACGGGGTGCTGGGGTGTCTTCTGGTGGGCAGAGTGGGGCCACCTTCCGCTGTTGGGGTTCTTACACCCCTGCACGCAGCGGACACCAGGAGCCAGCCGGAGACAGGGACAGAGCCCAGGAGAGGCAGCCGCCGCCCAGTGGCAGCCAACCCTCGCCGAGGGATGCTGTGTCTTTGGGTGGACAGTGCGGTAGTTCGTAGCCATTCATGGTACTGGGCAGCCCTCACTGCTGATCCTGGGACATTTCCGTCACTCCGTCTGCACTGAGCAGTCGCTCCTTGCTGCGTCTCTGTCTGACCTGTGGCAGCTGCTGGCTTCTGTCTCCGGGTCTGTTCTGGATGTTTCAGACACGTAATGGAGTCGGACCTGATACGGCCTTTGTCTCTTTCACTGAGCATAACGTTTCCAGAGTTCATCCGTGTAGTAGCGTGTGTCCCTCTGTTGTTCCCTTTTTTGGCTGAATGATACTCCGCTTTATAGACAGACCACGTTGTGTTTAACTGTTTAACAGCTGATGGACTTCAGGGTTGTTTCCACTTTTTGGCTACTGTGAATCCAATTCTTTAAAGAGAAGATTGAAACCTAAATTTTCGAAATCTATTTTTAAATGGTCACAATGAATTTTAAAAATTGAGAACATGGTTGGGGAATATATCTTTGTGGGGGTCAGTGTGGTTTAGGCACAGCTAGTTTGGCATCTGTTGTCTCCTGCCCAGCCCAGGGCCCTCTCCTTGGTTCTGACACACTTTGCATTTTAACCAGCGACCTGGGGAGGAAACTGGACGCCAAAGCCCAGAGAGGCCGTTCATTCCTCTGGGGCCACAGGGCAAGTCAGGGGTAGGTTCAGTACTTATCATGCCATCTTGGACCGCAGCAGAAACCTTCTGTGGCCAAGCAGGTCCTGGAAAAGTCACCTCCGATTCTAGGGTTGAGAGGGAACCAGTGCTTACACGTTAGCTTCTTTGCTTCCTGTATTTTCTGGGCCCTTGCTTGTACGTCGTTCTGGTCATACTGTATCTACAGTTTGACAAGTAGGTAGGAGTATTTCCGTTTGCACTGTGTCATGAGCGTTAGAGGCTCCAGTGGGACAGTGCTGGGCTGGGACACTGTCATGCAGCAGCTCAGGGCTGTCCCCAGAGGTGGTGGCGTTCCTGTGCTCCGCTTTCTCAGCTCTGTGGGAGCGTGGGAACCGTGCCTTCTCCTCCATCCTTCACAGCAAGACATGCTGTCAGACGTACCAACAAGTCGCTAGTGAAGCCTGCTTGGGTATGTTTCCTGGGCCACCCCATTGCCCGGAAACACATTCATAAATTGGAAAGATCGAGAGTCTCCGCCCGAGCCCTGATAGTTGTGCCCTCTGGATAAAAGGAGCACTGTTTGGAAAGCCGCTGTTTGTAGCCAGCCCTGCCATTTCCAGTTCTTTCCAAGTGGCACTGGGAGCCGCTCGGTCAACCAGGCCTTGGGAGGAAGTGCTGAGGGCTGAGAGGAGGGCGGTTGGCGCCCGCCGGGTCGGCTGGGCACTTCCTCTGCTCCAGATGCACAAGCAGCCACCTGGGGAGACAGGGGTCTGCAGCCTGGTGATTCAGAAGGCCTTGGCTGCCGCGGGCCCACTCGCTGCCCGGGCCGGGACAGAGGCCGGCTTCCGCCCCAGGGGCAGCAGGTGGTGCTGCTGGTTTCTTGGTGACCCCTGCCCCTCAGTTCTGTGACCCCACCATGTGATGGCCCCCCTGGCACATGAATATTCATATGTGGGGTTTCGGAGGAGCTGGGCCGGCGGGTGAGGGGCCCCGGGACACGTGCTCACTATGAATGGGCCCACAGAGGACGAGGCCGGAAGCTGCTTGATCTCTCTGCCCTGGGTTCCATCCTCCTTTGCTCTCATTCACTTGCGCTTTCAACAAGCATTTATTTATTGGGTGTGTGGCATGGCCCGGGCCCTTTCAAGGACCTGAAGGACAGAGCACAGAAGAGCCTTGCAGCAAAGCTACTGTCCATTCATGGAGGAGGAAGGCGGGGGGCCGGGTCCCGCGGCCTCACTGTCAGCAGGCGTTCACTGAGGGGGGCTGCCGTGTCAGCCCCCGCTGCCGCCTGCTTTCCCACAGCCCTGCTTAGCTGGGCAGTCAGCCCCTGTGGGCGAGCCCGCGTAGCCCACGTTCCCTGTCTCCCCCAGGTTTGAGGGGAGTGAGGGGCCACGGTGTGGTCTCTCGTGACTCGTGGCTGCCGTGGAGCAGACAGCACGGTGGCCCAAACGCACGTAGGTCCCCGCCACCACCCGTGGAAGCCTGCCAAAGCTCCCCAAGCCAGCGCTGCTTATTCAGGGTCATCTGGATGACTGGCCAGGGTTTGAACCAAGGGCATCTTTCCTTCTGCGTCCAGAGCTCCCTGAGCGTGGCGGCCCTGGCGGGCCCAGGCTGCTTTCTGGGCCTTTGCAGGATTCACAGCTCTTGGCCACGCTGTGGGTTTTGTTGTTTGAGCAAGTTCTCACAGGGAAGCAGGGCCTGTGGGAAGTCACTGTAAGGGTCAAAAGAGGCTCCCGAACAATGTTTAGGTGGCATTGCGCAGCAGTGGGGGGCTCTGGGTAGAAGCCTCGCCTGCAAGCCACCATCTCTGGGGACGGCCCCGGCCGCCGGGTGGCAGTGCCCAGCCCAGCACGGTGCCGGCTCCGGGAGGAGGCATGAAGGTGCACACAGCATCGGCGGCCTCGCAGGTCGCAGCGTTTGGGTGGGTAGAATACTTCCAGAAAGATGGCAGGACTTCGGTTCAACTCTTACCTACCTGTGTTTGTGAGCTTAGGGAAAAGCTAGCATGTTTGGAGCCCCGTTGTCTGAGAGAGGGTCTGGATGCGGGCCAGAGCTGCCCTTGCACACGGCACGGCCCGCGTGCGGAGGCCGGGAGGGTAGCGGCCGAGGGCCGGGGCTGCCCGGGTTCTCATGAGCGCCGGGTGCTTAGTTGTTACCTTGGTAAACTCCTATGTGCTGTTGAATGCGCGCTTCAGGCATCGTGCTCGGGAAGACACAGTCCCCCGGTCCACAGGACTGCCTCACCCCATCCCGTGGTCACCGGCCCCTGGGACCCCCTGTGCTTACTGCAGTGGATACATTCTTGTGTCTCTC